TTTTTTCATGAAAAAAGTTTGCCTTTGCACAAAAAGGTTGAAAAACACTGATATAGAGGATCTGGCACTGCATTTTAAGATCTCAGACTGCCAGTATCCACAGAAGAATATGTCAAAATAGTAGAGTTGATAGTTACAGAGACACAAATGATGCCTCACCTGTTTTATGCACACATAAATGTGGCATGTATTACAAAAGGGCCATGCTTAAACTACCACAACTGACACATTTAGTTTGTTGGGTCTTCTCCCCATCCCTTTCCTTCAATATCACTATCTTAGACACAGATATTTCCTATTTTTGCTAAATTCTGTTACACAGATGACAGGAATGATTCTAATACAAAACTTTCCATGACCTTTTAAAAAACCATGGTACTATAGATAGTTGAATCAGCTTATAGCTCAGTTAGGAGCCAAAATGAGCAGCTTGGTTTTGCATTAAAACAATTAAAAATAATGACATGTTCTTGCCTAAAGACCCTGAAAAGATTTGTCATTTCACCATGCATTAGCTGTTCTCCTGTGGCCAGCATCCTAACAAATATTCAGAACTGTGAATCAATCTTTCCTTCTTTCTCTTTGTCTGTCTGCCTCTCTGTATCTCTCCCTATTTCTCTCTCAGATACAGAGATTTTGGCTAGTCAACTGCTTATTTTGTTTTGGCAATGATTTATGAATAAATGAATTCTTATTTGCCCTTGCAAATCTTACCTAGTCTACAAAATTCAGAACTCTAGACTCCACAGAAAAATTATAAAAATATAATGAGATATTAGAGCATGTGGTACCTTGGCTGAGTTCAAAAAAGTTATGGACAAACAGTCACTATTACTGCAGAAGCCATGTCCACTAAAATAGGATGTCTCCTGCAACAGCTATAAGAAGAATCATGAAATTCTGTTCATGTTAATGGTGAAATGTCCCAAGACTTCCTTGTATGTATTGGTGTGAAGTAGGGCTGAATTGTATCTTCATTGTTTTTCAACACTGTGATCTATACTGGTTGGCATGACATCAAATATGGTTAAGATGAATACATTACAGGACTAACCCACAAAAATATAACACTAGCTATGTACCTCTGGAAATGGAGTAGTTTTGTTTTTTTATGCAGTTAAGAGTAACAAAGGGTGTTGAGGGGAATGGTTTGATTGATTCACAAAATGCTGATTGAGATCTAAACAAACTACTTAATTTACCAGTGTCCCAAGCCAGTTTCTACATCACAAATAATCATCTAAAACAGTGGCCTGCAACCTTTTGGGCAACAGGGACCAGTTCCATGGAGAATGGTTTTTCTGTGGACTGCAGGGTAAGGTTTCACATGCTGCCTGCATCCCACGGATGGGGCTTCACTTGTTTGTGCGGACTGTATGTACAACACATACAAAGATATGTTTAGCAACCTGATTAGTATACTATGTTTTAGAGGAATTACGGTAACAAATAAATAACAGATATATCTAAATGTTTGACTTTTTTGATGTTCTAGAAATCATCTTGATAAATGGCATAGTTAAAAGGAACTGTTCTGTTCCTCTAATACTTTCTCTATTCAACTTGAAAATACCTGCTTGTATTTTATTATATATTATATAAGTGCCAGTTTAGTGCAGTGAATAAGGCATCAATCTAGAAACTGGGAGATTGTGAGTTCTAGTCCCATCTTAAGAATGAAAATCAACTGGGTGACTTTGGGCCAATCACCAGGAGACGGTGAGTTCTAGTCCCATCTTAAGACATAAAGCCAGCTGGATGACCTTGAGCCAGTTAACTTCTCTCAGTCCTAGGAAGGAGGCAATGGCAAAAACCAATTCTGAAAAAGTCCAAACAGTTTCCAAGAATCTGACACGATTAAACAGAATCAAAAAATATATTTATTATACTATATTTCAAAGACCTGAAGGCTACAATCCAACAACGGGACTAAGCCTCAGCCTCATGAAACTTACAATATAAAATGTTTTTGATTAGAAAAAGATAAGTTTTGCAAATGGCAGAAATCAGAAAGCTCATGTACACTTAAAATGTATCCTTCCCTCTTTGACCTTTAATTTTGAAAAAAGAAACCAGGAAATTATTAAAAAATAAAAATGTTTAAATGGTCTCCTCATTACAATACATGCCAGGGCTGCTAGGTAGACTTTTTACAACAATTTATAAGACATTGTGTAACTTCTTTTATTCTGATTTACTGTCTAAACTCATATACTGTTATAAGTCATTTTATGAATTATTGTATTGTGCAAATCCAAACAATTGTAGATTATTCAATTATGATGAAATATATCAGTTTAGCAGAATGTTTGATTAAGATATGTTGCTTGATATATCCAGAATATATCAGTGTTCTTAAAGAGGGGTGAAGTTTATTTTACTTTATTGTACAAGTTACTTTGGTTTCTTCCAGCAGTTTGGACGCTGGCCAGAATTTCCATTCCCTATTACCATACACTGTAAAGTTGAATAGTTTTAGCAGTTTAATAACTCTCAACTTTTATATAGCCCAATATATACAGTCCTGGGAAATTTATCCAGAAATACCCCTGAGTTTACTTCCTTGTGTGAAGTTACAGACTTTCACATATGTAGCCAGGAAAGCCAGCTGGTGACCTTGGGTCAGTCATTGTCTCAGCCCGCCCAATTTACCTCACAGGGTTGTTGTGGGGAAAATAGGAGGAAGGTGTCCTGGATATGTACACCGCCTTAAGTTATCTTGAGTATTTTCATGTAAAAATAATAAAAGCAGGATACAAATAAATACTATAAAAATAAGTAAGACTAGAATCTTTATATTTGGAATAAGGAACACTAAATTTAATGGGACTTTCTACTAAAGTTGTTGCACATACATTCAATATATGCATCTGTACAATTCTTGATTTTTTAAAATTGTTATGTGCATCAGGCTGTTTCAAACTCTGAAAAAAAATTAAGTCCTTCCTATGGACGATCACTGTATACTAAATACTCTATACAGAACTTTTATTGGTAAAAAGTCGTTTTAAAATAATTTTGGATTTCTTCCAGCTCTTCATGTCGCTAATTACAGATTTCCTTTTTAGCATTAAAGCTGCAATAAGGCCGATTACGCTGCTAAATAAAAGCATTTGGGTTTGCACGGCACGGTTTGCAAGTTGAAGCCCACTTCTTTAACTGCAAGGCCCTTTTAATTATTTCGGACTTTCTTGGATGGAGGCGAAAACTAGACGAGTCTTAAGGGCCAGTTTCAGAAGCATTTTAAAGGAGGGGGGGGTTGCCTAGCATCTCCCAGATTTTCAGAAGCAACAGGCAACGCATTCTGCTCTTCGACCAACATCAGAAATGACTGCTTTCCCTCCAATAATGTTTATTGATTGCATCGCTCCGCCCTCGGTAATCTTGCGGTTGTGCCAGATTTTTTTTCGCCAGAATCTTCCCCCCCCCCCTTTTTTTTTCTCCTTTCACTTTCTCTCTGTTGGGCCTCCCGCGGTTTCCCGGACTTTCCACAAATAATCGCCACATTTCTTTCCCGTTTGTTCAGGCTTCTCGCTCCCGAGTCCTTCTTTTTGAAGGCGGGGGAGGGGCTGGAAGGAACAGCCTTCCCATGACAGGGCGGGGCAAAGAGCTGCAGGCTGAGAAGGGCGTCGTTTGCAGTCGCTAAAAAACCGGAAAGGTTGTTTCTGCTTCTTATCAGGAAGATCAATGTACAAAATGATGTGTCAGGGGTGAAGGCTGTTGGAATTTATAGTTTCTCTCAATAGGGAGGCAGTATTTCCTGATAAGTGCTGGGAGCGGTGCAGAGGCATTCTGCACATGCTTGGGAGCCCCGTTTTTTTCTAATTGCGCTTTCGTATTTAGATGGAACCCTTTTGACAGCATCTTCTGCATTGCAGCACATGCATGCGGGCAGCCTGCTGTACTTCGTGTCCCAGGGATTGCCTTTTCTTCTTCTTTTTAACTGTTTCACTTGGTGGGAGGGAGGGAGCAGGGAAGAGCCCATTCCAGAGAATCTCCCACACATTCCCTTTTTAAAACTTCGCGTCGCCTATTTTGACCCTTGCCCTTACAAAAGAGGGGGTCTCCTTAAAAGCGCGCCCTATTTGTGGATCGAACAGCCTTCGGACCACCACCCGGGTAGTTTGCATGTACCTCTTAGCTGTGCTGTGGTGTCAAGGTTGGAAGCGTGATTAAAGGCTGGGTGCCGGCGAGGTCACCTCTTTATCTGTGCCTAGGACCCTCAGATATGCTTTATGCAGTCACCCTTTTCATCTCCCAACGAGCTTGGCTATTACCTTCGGGAAGAAATGGATAGCAACCTAAATTTGGAACGAAAGGCTCGTCTCCCATGGAACGGCAGGGTAGAAGGAAACGTGGTCCCTGTTTCTTGCAAGTCGCAAAGAGTAACGTCGCCGACCACAACTTAGCTTTTTAGACAACAGGCGACTTTTATTATGCCTAACTCCCCCCTCCCCACACACGCACTCACAAGACCCGGAGAGGCAGCCCCATTCTTTCCCCCTCCCCTTCCAGCAGAGGAGAAAAGCGGCGGCGGCGGCCCAAGCCACGGTGGAGTGAATGCGTTGTCATGGCAACTGGCAGAGGCAGGCGGCAGGCCGGCCCCAGCCCCAGCCGCCTCAGCCTTTCCTCCGCTGTTGCACTGTGTGGGTGAGGGAACCGGGCGCCCGAAGGAGCAGAGAAGAGCAGCTCGAGTTTGACGCGAGCGGGTGGGGAAAAGGAGGGAAGAGAGGCTGGAAGGAGCGATTTGGACTAGGGCTGGGGGGGCCGAGGATCCCAAGCGGGCCGAAGAGGGGCGCGAAATTGGCTTCGGGATGATGATGGAGGACGGATTCTCCAGCTACAGCAGCCTCTATGACACTTCCTCGCTTCTGCAGTTCTGCAATGGTAAGGGGAGGAAAGTAAAAGAGAGCGAAGCGTGCATGCGCGCCCGAGGAGCGAGGACCCGAAACCAAGGGCCGCTGGGGTGGTGGTCGTACTGGTGGTGGGTGGGCATCGCCCTGAAGTCGAGCGGCCGGGGCGGGGGGGGGGGGGCTTCGCTTTTTTTGCCTGGCGAAGATGGGCTGACTTGGCAAGTGGGATGGATGTGCCGGAGAAGCTGGCAAGGAGAACCGCCCCCGCCAAGCTCCCAGCTTTCCTACTTGGAGAAAGGATGGGGCCTTTTCGGGGCTTTCTCTCTGTTGATCTTTAGTTTTAGGTTAAGGGGGAGAACCAGCATTGGCTTCACCGCCACGATCTTCTGCCTGACCGAAAGAAACGCTGGGTATTTTAGTTAGCTTCACCAGAAGGCGAGGGAGAGAGCAAAGAGCTGTGCCTGCCTCCGGAGATATTCCCACTACAGGATTGCATTGACGGGTGCCTGATAGAGGATCGTGAAGATTATGGAAAAGAAAGTAAAACAACAACAACGTCACCTTCTGTGTGTATGGAGGGAGGAAAGCAGTTTTTATTCCTGAGTTTAACTTCTAGGAACCGCCCCGCGATTAAATGCTGGCTTGATTGACGTGTTCCCTTGTTTCACGGTCTTTAGTTCTTAAATAAGCAAGGCAAACATTCACAGTTGTAAAGAATGTGTGTATATGTGTTTGTGAATCGTATTAAAAGATGGTCTTTGAAGTTTTATGTAATTCGGATGGTGAGTTTTGTTCGTTGCCATACTGCACTGCATGAAAGATTTATGGCTTCTTGTACAGTTATTTTTAAAGTAAACAAAAGTCTTGAGATGGAAAATATGTTGGTTCCAAGCTGTGTAGTTTCTGCCCTGCTTCTTTAAAAGTATATTAAACCAAATGGTGTTTGGGATGGTGATGTAACAAAACGCAGTTTGATTTACAGGAAACTTTTGTAATAAACATTTAAGACAGAAGACCCTTCCTGTATTGGGCTAATTGGATAATATATTAATGTAGTTTGTCAGTTGGACAATAGAATCTTTTAAAAATGGAATTTAAACAATTTGTAAACATCTTAACTCAGTATTGACTAATAGGAGTTACATGTGAATATATACAGAATGGTTTTGCTGTTCACTTAGAAAATCTTTGTGATTAGAGTATAAATTCCTTTGCCTGAAGAAATTAAAATAGTTTACAGTGTAGTTCACATATTATTTATATTTGTGTTTGTAAAAGTAAGAATTATATAAAATAGCTTATTTATATTGGACTTACTTAGACTCTATTTTGACAATGATAGAAAACCAGAAAATTACTCTTTTAAATCAGCTAAAAGTTGGGATTATTTAAAGCAATTTTTATACCGTTGTGGAAATTAAATATTGGGTTTGCATCTCTTTTTCATTGTTGCATTTCAGTCTGTAGAAATATTTAAAATCAGTAAAGTTAAGATCAGTAAATTATAGTTTTGGATAGGTAAACTATATGTCTATTGTTTTCAATAGAAATTCATCTGTGCCCTTTCCCGTGTGAATTTAACTTTATTAGGATAACTTTTTTGCAGAAGTTAGAAAAACCTGGACTCTTCAGATATTGTAGAAGTACAACTTCTACCTTCTTTCACTATTGACCATGTTGGTTAGATAGTTCAGTAAGGTCAGAGCACAAATGCCTCTAGATATTGAGCAAGTAAATGGAATGTTGCTTATTCTCTTTAGGGGATTAATTCCACAATCAGGATTCTGCTACAATAAAGGTCATGCCTTGCTACTTATTCTTGATAGTGTCATCTAATGAAGATTCATAAATTGCATAGTGGCTAATGAGAAATGGGTTCTTTTCAGGTGTTCTGGCCATAAAGTCTTAAGGTTTGTTAGACTTTATTTTGAAGTGAAAAGAATTTTGAAGGTAGTATATTTAGAATAAAATCTTCAGAAGTAATGTAAACTTGCAAAATCTCTGCAAGCTGTTAGCCTGACCCTTCTTCAAAGTACAACCCAAGCACAAAACTTAATCTTGATATTAAAAAGTATATAAATCCCACAGCACAGTGGCCACAAAAATAAACAGGATTGGCCTCAACATCACCAACTGGAAACTTCCAGCCAGATAGAATAAAAATCTATTCAAGTCAGACATGAAAAACCACATACTTCTGAAAACATTTTGTTGTCTTAGCTACAATTGGATGAATTAACATACTGCTTTAAGTCATAAACCACAGTGCTTGGATTCATATAGCTTTTGCTGAGCCAAATTAGACACTCTGTGTCATGGCATAGCATTGTGAACCAACTTGCTATGGCTTATTCGCTAGACCAGGATTAGGAAATAGTCACCTAGCAAAACATTTAACAAGTATTCTATGTCATGCTAATTAGCAAGGTAGTTAAACATTTTCTGGATCTCATAGCAAGCATATATATCAGTTGGTGCTTTGTAAAGCCATTAATACTCAAAGAATGCTAATCAATGGTGTCTTATCAAATTTGACAGAAGCATCAAGTAGACTTCTACAAGGATCAGGCCTGGGACCTGTTGTTCATATTTTTAATAACTTGGATAAAGGTGGGAGAAAGCTTCTACAATTTACAACTGACTAAAATTGGAGGGAATAACTAATAAACAGAGCTAGTCGAAGACAACCTGCATAAATATCTGTAAGTTAGAAAAACAAAGTTGGGGTCTTTCTGGTGTATCAGTTGCCTGATGTGTGGCAGAATCTTTTCCTAAGCAGCTTGATCTTGGATGACTTTAAGGTTCTTCAGAACTTTAAGGTGCTCGGGACCAATTTGGATGTTATTCTGGTAACAATGACATTTCCCAGGCACTGTTTTGAGCTGATTTTCAGGATCCATCCCTCCAAACTTCAGCATGTGCACCTGCTTGCCAATCAAATTTCTATTTATTCATAACATCAAATATCAGAACATACTTTAATAGTAATTTTATTAAAAATTGCAATTGCAGCAATAGAAACTCATACAACTAAAAAAAATTAAAAGAATAGAAATGAAAGAAAAAAAGAAATACAGTATATAAAAGAAATATAAAAGGAATGATTTCCCCTATCACAAGTATAAGCAATTTTAGTAACGTATTAGTTTCTTTTAAAATATTACAAATGAAGAAGAGATTCTTCTATCCCATCTCTTTTGGGTCTACAAAATTAGTTATAAATATGGCACTTGGCTTAAGCCAAATACACAGAAAGTGTTTCCCTGCTCCTGCCACTGCATTTGAATGTCTACAGAGATTCTCAGTCAACCAGGTCATGGTTTCCCAAAGGTGTTTTTTCAAGGGGAAACTGGATTTTTTTGTTTTTATTTGAAGATGTTTCGCTTCTTGGGTAACGGAGGGATGGACAGACAGTCAGATAGATAGATGATAGATCCCACTTAGTTTGCCAGTGATCATATTCTCCTTCCCAACTCCAACAATAGATTTTTCTTCTTAACCTATTCGATCTTTTGCCCAACTTGCCTTTAGAGTACTATGCGTGTGAGAAACCGTACCTACCCCCGCTAAATGCTTTACTAGATTATTTTATCTGTCTGGGAGATCATGTGACATGCAAACAAGGCTTAGCTGTTCTATTCTGTCACAGACTTGATCCAGGTAATTTGGGGCCCAATCTGTGAAGTGGACATACATGAAAGCTCACTTTTGCCTCTTTGCAATCATGTAATTAGATATCCAAGGCATAACCACCACATTAAATGACTCCTTAGTCCAGTGGAGACTGACTGCTATACATGATCTCCCTGGGTTAAATTAGGCTGATTAAACTGATTCACTTCAGGGATAGGGACAAGGTGGTGATTAAAATAGTACTGTAAGTGTCTTAAATGTTTTATTTTAGCTCTGTGGAGTATGTTGTCATTATTTTTAATTCTAATATAGGGAATATAAACAGGAATGGGAGCTTGGGAAAGGACAAGATAAAAAAAAGTAATATGAAAATTAAGAACCATTGATGAAAAAGCACTAAAAAGAAAAGAATATTATGATTCTAAACAACTTACATTCTAAACAACTTAAACTAGATCAACTTACAAAGATTTAATGTGTCATTGAATATTCAATTTTAATGTTTCTAATAATTCTAACCATTTTCTAATACCAAATTGGGACAGTGAAGAATTAAAAGCATTTGAGGAGGAGTCTAATTAGAAGCTGAGGAAGAAGTTAAGACTAGAAATGTTTTGCCCCGAGCCTAATATGAATTTAGTAGCAAAATTTCTTGCTGACAGCACATAATTTCAGTTTATCAACAATTACTGTCAGTCAACATCAAGTTAAAAGAATCAAAATATGTCTTGGAGTAGCATTAATGGAAACAGAGAGGAATGCCCTTAGGAAATAGTATTAAATAACAACTAATTATTCCTTATACACTGGTGTGGCCTTGATATAGATGGAAGTTTGATGATATAATCTGTGCTATTTATTACTAATGATATTGCTCAGGCTTTTGCTAATGAATAGTGCTGGTTAGTGTGTTCTCACCACTAGTATCTTGGAGACATGCTCCTTCTGGCTTCTCCATGAGGCTAGGAATGGTTTGAAGGCTGGTTCCAGGAGGTTATTATTGGCTCTTTTTGGAAGTAGGTGCCAATGCAAATTGCTGATCATTAAAGCCCCCATACTATTCTGCACTAAAGTAATCCCAGGAGTACTGATTTCAGATTGAATTGACCCATCATCCCCCCCCCCCGCCTCCGGGGAGAAACTACTGTGAATCCCCCAATTCCCTATACTAATGGAAGTCTAGGTGCTTCTTTTCTATGACAACACTTATATTTTGGAACAGTTTAATGCTTGAGTGAGTTATTACCTTCTAAAAACTAATTACATTACATTACATGACTGATGATTATTATTGTAACAGCATTTTTTATAATTTGTAATTTGTACTATGAATATTTGATTTCTCTGTCTTCATTATTGGAAATTTCAAAACATTCAGGATTGCAGCAAGTATGAAATCTA